GCTTAGGTTGTGTACTGATGCAGTTGAGTAAGGTAGTGGCCTACGCATCGAGACAGTTGAAGACTCACGAGGAGAACTACCCGACACATGATTTAGAGTTGGCAGCCGTGGTGTTCGCCTTGAAGATTTGGCGCCACTACATCTTTGGAGAGAGGATTCACATCTTCACCGATCACAAGAGTTTGAGGTACCTACTCACCCAGAAGGAACTGAATCTTAGACAACGTCGATGGTTGGAGCTAATCAAGGATTACGATTTAGTCACTGAGTATCACCCGGGCAACATCGTGGCCGATGCTTTGAGCAGAAAATCGTTAGCCGAGCTACAGCTTCAGTCTCCGTTAGAGCAGGAGATCCGTACAGCACAGAGAGATGATGAGTTTTGTCAGAAGACTCGAGAGTTAGTTCCTATAGGAAAGAGGCCCGAGTTTGCAATTCGCAATGACGGAGTCTTGTACTATCGTGAACGCCTAGTGGTGCCCCGCGGTGGAGTGAGGGATCGCTTGTTGCGCGAGGCTCACGGGACCGTATACACTATGCACCCGGGTAGTAACAAGATGTATCAGGATTTGAAGAAATCCTATTGGTGGCCAGCTATGAAAAAGGAAATCTCCGAGTTCACTGCGCACTGTTTGACTTGTCAGCAAGTCAAGGCTGAGCACCAGGTTCCGACAGGGTTGCTGCACCCTCCTATCATTCCATAATGGAAGTGGGAAAGGATCACTATGGACTTTGTGATCGGATTGCCCCGATCTTCACGAAAGAATGACGCCATCTGGGTCATTGTTGAAAGATTGACAAAGTCCGCTCATTTTCTACCCGTCAGACGTGACTCCTCCTTGGACAAACTGGCAGACTTATACGTTAGAGAGATAGTTCGGTTGCACGGTGCACCGTTGTCAATCATATCTGATAGAGATCCCCGGTTCAGTTCGATGTTCTGGAGAGGACTTCAGAAGGCTTTTGGCACAGCTTTGAACCTTAGTACGGCATTTCACCCTCAGACCGATGGCCAGTCTGAGAGGGTGATACAGTTTGTCGAGGATATGATGCGAGCTTGTGTGATCGACTTTGGAGAAGATTGGGAGCGTTACTTGCTGTTGATGGAGTTTGCATATAATAACAGTTACCAGGCGAGTATTCAGATGGCTCCTTATGAGGCACTCTACGGCAGAAAGTGCCGAACCCCAATTTGTTGGACAGAGCTTAGCGAGCGTAAGCTCGAGGGACCAGATATTGTGCAGGATACTGAGGAGAAAGTTCGTGTGATCAGAGACCGACTCCGCGCCACTACGGACAGACAGAAATCTTATGCAGACTTAAAGAGACGAGACATAGAGTACAATGTTGGTGACATGGTATTTTTGAAGGTTTCACCTTGGAAGAAGTTCCTACGGTTCGGGAAGAAAGGGAAGCTTAGCCCTAGATTCATTGGACCCTACCGCATTCTGGAGCGAATACGACCTGTTGCTTACAGGTTAGAGTTGCCACCAGAGTTGAACAGGATTCACGACGTCTTTCATGTCTCCATGCTACGTAGATACCGTTCAGATCCGACTCATGTGTTGCCGACCAATGCTGTAACCCTCGATGAGAGTTTGTCTTACGAAGAAGAGCCAGTTAAGATCTTGGCGCGCGAAACTAAAGTACTAAGAAATAAGACGGTACCTTTGGTAAAGGTACTATGACATAATCATGCGGTGGAAGAAGCAACCTGGGAGACCGAAGAATCTATGCGAACTCAGTACCCTCATCTTTTTGACGACCACTGACTCAGGTAATTTCGAGGACGAAATTCTTTTTAAGGGGGGAGAAATGTAACGCCCCAAAATCTGGCCCAAAAGAATTAATTAAATTGTTAGAGCAATTGATTACGAATTGGGCCCAAAAAGGGGTTAAAATTATAATTTGGATTCTAAGCCCAACTTTTATGTCATCTCGTAGGAAATATTTTTGGGATCGCGTCGGTTCAGACGGCTCGCGAATCGGAGTTTTGGAGCTCATGTTATGACCATTTAATCAGGTATTTTGGGTCCGAAGCCCAATCCTTTTAGGAATGGGATCATTAAATAAAACCTAAACCTATCTTCTTCCGTTTAGATATGAGAGCCGCGATCTTCATCGTCACTTTCTTCTTCTTCATTTCCAATCGCCGTTGCTTCCTTCGCTAGAGATCTGCCGTCAGCATCAGCGCCGCCGACGACGGTTCACCTCGTCGTGTTGCCGTTCGTCGCCTCCACTGCCAGCGTCGGTCGTCCACCGCCATCGGGTTGCAGCGCCGCCACGCCGAACGCTGGACGTCGCCTCCACTACCGGCGTCTTTCCTCGCCGTCGAGTTGCAGCGCCGCCACTGTACGCCGTCGAGTTGCAGCGCCGCCAGTCGCTGCTTATCGTCGTCAAGTTGCAGCGCTGCCACTGTACGCCGTCGAGTTGCAGCGCCGCCAGTCGCTGATCATCGCCGTCGAGTTGCAGCACCGCCACGGTACGCCGTCGAGTTGCAGCGCCGCCACTGTACGTCGTCGAGTTGCCGCTCCGCCACTGTACGCCGGCGTCCGCCACCGTCGCCGCATCCAGCCGCTGCCCCGAGTTGATACCGCCGGCAGATTAATCTCCACGCCAGATTGATTGGTCGATTTCGTGTTTTGGCTCAATTTGACCCGTTGTTCGTTTGATTTCGTTGATTTGTTTTCCGTTCGAGCTATCGATTCGATTTCTGCGTAATCCAGGTCCGTACTATGAAGTTAATAGCGTTCAGAATAGATTTAATGGTTTGGATCGTTATATATGTTTATGCAATAATTTGGCTAAATTGGTTAATTGAATTAAATTGATTATTTGAATTGAATTGTTGAGAATTGTGAATTGACTGAACAGGTTTGATTTTGACTTGGGTTAGGTCCTGTTTGACTTGGGCTTTGACTGGATATTCTGTTGACGTAGGTTTGACCTAATGGTTAAATCCAAGACTTTAATGAATTAATTAAGTTAATTAATTAATTCTAATCAGTAATTAGGATCAATTGGTTTATTATGTCGAACATAGAAACTGGCCATTGCTCGGGCGGCTGCAGGGCCTGGTCAGTGAGGTTAAGACGTGCGCACGAGGGTCTGNAGGTGATCAGACAGATGAACCTAGAGCCGATCCCGGAGGGCATTGAGGAGGAGATGTACGATGGCGTGGCTGTCTCTTTAATCTGTAGTTATGCTTTATTTAATTAACTTTAATGCTTATTACGTTTTCGGGCAAGATCCCAAGTTGTTTGACTTTAAAAAGGCTTCTGCATTATTTTAAATTACTCCGATGGATTTTTATATGTATTGATAGAATGTTTGTTTTAAATTCTTTTGAAAATGTTGTATATTCGGATACCAATCCAGTGGCACACCGGTCCGCTGTCTTACAGGTTTGAGTTATGCGGGTTGGGGTGTTACACAATGCCTTTCTTGTGTTTTTTGTTCCTTCAAAGAAATTTTACTATCTCTTTGAATCTTTTCATTTTGTTCCATGTTCCCGAAGGTTTGTCAATATCAAAACCTAAACATAAACAAACCTTGTCATTAGCAAAACGTCAAAGTGAAAATGTTTTCCAACACATGGTGGTTAACACCGACAAACGGTGCAATCAGCATATCGTACTTGTTTGTTAGGTATGTTGTATCAAATGTCACAACGTCTTCGTAGTACTTGTATGCACGACGAGACCTCTTATCTGCCCAAAATAAGGTTTTCAACTTTGACTCCTTATCAAGGTCCATGCTAAAAAAACCGTCACTTTTAGCTTGAATTTTACAAAAGTATGCTTGTATAGCCGTGACATCCTCTGCACATAGCTTGACCATTTGCACTAGCGCAACGTACTTTCTACAATCCTTTTCGATAAAGGACAATTTATCATACCCTCCAGCTTCAACCACGGCTGAGTTAAAACTCTTTTTAAGGGGGATTCCTGCTGTATGATTCACCTCGAGCCTTCATTTTATGTGGTCCGGAAACTTCCTGTTACAACGCCACATTCGTGACTTTAATGGGCTAATGTCATGATTATGTTCCAAATTTGCCACTGTAATAGTAAACACACCTTCATCATCACATGTTGTCGTTATTCGGGCTGTGCAACCACAGTTTGATCGGGCTTATGGCTTTAGACAATTCTTAGACCGGTTCACCTTATTCCCTTCTCTACCACATGAGATTATGATAGAACATATTGTTCCATGACATCCTCTCCACAAGCTTCTCTTTTTAATGGGAAATCCTATTGCCTTTGCATAAGTATTGTAGAATTCATATATGGAATCATAATTCGAGAACTTCATCCCAACATCAGGGATAAGGCATAAAGGTTCCGGGAGATTAACAATGCCATCACTTTAATTCTCTTCAAGTATGGACAAGTTACCCACGGGCGACATGTTCACCACCGGTGTTCCTGGACAAACATTTCCCACATCAGATTTATTAAGAATAATTAGGGAATTATTGAGGCGAACTCAGGGATAATTATAAAAATATTTGTCCATAAACTATAAAAGTTGTATTTTTGTGTAGGGTTCGATGAGACGAATTCAATAGTGCAAACAGGTCTGAATTTGGACCAAGTGTTTGTCAAAACTGAGTTAATAAAATAAAATAAAATAAAATCTCTTGTCTCATTGTATTCGTATAGTATGAATTTTTTGAGCCAAGCTTGACGAAAATTAATCATCATTTACAGTAAATTTGTATTGCATATTAATATAATGAAAGGAAAATTTATGCAAATGTGACTTAAACATATCATTTTTTCTTAAATAGGACCCGTCCTATATACTAAAATATTATTTCTTCGAGAAAAATGACCAATTACACAATGCTAGTAGAATAAGACATTATTAAAAATGATTTGAATAGTCATTGAAATAATTAGTCATTATCCAATAATTATAAAATACTTTTTGTTAATTAAGACATATATGACAGATCATATGAAATTATGTGTCATAAAGGGAATAAAACAGACTCGGTCCTATTCAGAAAAAACGTACTATCTTTAAGTTTTATTTGAAACAAATTTTTCATTACGAAATACAATTTTGAAAGTTCTTTAGAAAGTGAATCTAATTAATTTAGTTTTATACAAATATATACTCCGTATCATATTTTTTTATTCAATTGAGATTTAAAGATCGTTTAGTTTGAATTGAAAAAATCAAACTGAACGAATACATTCAAAGCAGTACCAATGGTAAAAGGGTTATATGGAGTATGAGAAGTGAGAAATGAAAATGATAAAAGGGTTATATGGAGTATGAGAAGTGAGAAATGAAAAGAATGGATGGACGGAGAGTATCACATTGATGAAACCTTGAAAGCATAAGCAAGTGAAGACAATTTGTTGCCAGAAATGGGATTGACATCTTGACGCAAAGCTCTCCTTGAGTTTGCCCAAAACCCAATGATGACGCAGGAATCTTGACAGTTTTTCATCAGAGCCTTTTGGTGGATAGTAATATTACAACAAGGAAAGGAATTATTTCTACCAAGGGCATCTCTCTTCTGCACCGTGACCTAATGGTGAGTGAGGCTCATTACATTTTTACCCCTAGATTTCACTTTTTTTAAAAGTATTCCCTCCCTCCCAAATTATTTGTCACATTTGCTTTTTCAACAGTCGCGGGAACTTTTGTTTATTTCTACGTTTTCATTGGTTATTTGATAAAATAAAATATTCTTGACACATATTATTTCGAAAAAATTTTCATGTAGTTTTTTGATATGTAATTTTAATTTTTTATTTTTTTACCAATATGTAAATAAAATAAATTGAAAAAACTTAATATTTTGCTTCGGTAATAGAAATGTGACGAATAATTTGGGAGGGAGGGAGTATAAATTTTCTTTCCCAAGGTTGGGCAACTGACAATTACAGTACACCATTGACTACAGTAAACTACCCTTTCGGGGGTGGAGTTGTGGTGATTGTTTTGGGTTTCTGGGTGGGTTTTAATAATGAGGAAAACCGATATAAATGTCCTAACCTACTCACAAGTAAAAGGGAGTAAATTTGTTCTTTATTCATGGCCTTGATATACGGATAAAGATTAAGGACTAGTTTAGTGAGTTTTGGAGATATGATAAGATATCAGTTATGAAATATGGAAGAAATGGTATGGGTTTTGAAATCTGAAACGAAGTTGTTTGGAAAGATTTAAAATTATGCTTTAATTACTGATAAATAGGGGCGACTGGCAACGGAAGTGGTTAGCGGTGATAATGGTACCCAATGACGGAGAATGATCAATGGTTGAGAGAGATATCAAACTCCCATAGGAAGATATCGAAATTCTCCATTTTAAGTATTTATGATATATGGAGATATCAAATTTAATACGGAGTATTTCTTTTGGTTTCACCAAACACCCATAAAGAATTCTGATATTTAAAGATATCAAAACTCATACTCCCTCCCTCCCCAATTTGATTACAAATTGCGGGTTACAGAATAAAATTTCCTACTTTTTGAAATCATTTTATTTACAAATTGGTATACTAATAAGATATAAAAATTACATATTAAAAAACTACGTCAAAAGTTCTACAAAACAAGAGGTGACAAGAATATTTTATTTTATCAAATACTTAATGAAATCGCGTAAACAAACAAAAGTTATCGAGAAGAGAGAAAAAAATTGTAATCTATTTAGAGACGGGGAAGTATCTCATTTACTCACCAAATATACTAACGGCTGCTTTTACCCGGAGTGGCGTAGCTTAATGGAATGTTTGGGTGTAAGGAGAAAATAAAAGAAAAGAAAATGAAGATGAATTAAAAGAAAATAACAATTGTTTTGATTAATTGAAAATGAAGAAAAACTACGAAGAAGAGAGAAGTGGCATTTTCTTTCATCCGTTTGGTTGGAAAGTAAAGTAGGTAGAAAGAAAATAGGATAAGGGTTCGTTTAGTGAAATTGATATCTTGAGAGACATAAATATGAGTGACAGTTATATAATTGCGATATAGTCCCTCCGTCCCAAAAAATTTGTTACGTTTAGAAAAAACTGCGTCCCGTAAAGACTATTACATTTCTATTAAAAAACCATTTTTACCCTTTTACTTTTTCATACCCTACCTATCACATCATACCTTTTTTCTAACAATCTACCAATCACATCCTATTTTTACCTATCATATTATTTTTGGAAAGTCAATACCAAACCCTTAATTTTTCAAAAAGTCAAACTGTTTCATTCTTTTTGGGAGAGAGAGTATAATCCAAAGCCGGGCCATTAAATGAGTTTCAGTTCTGTGATTGCCTTACAATACTGCACTGATTAAATATGGGGAGTGAGTGCTGACTGACTGACTCACAGACCCTCATGCATGTCTTCACGTGTTATGTGCAGTTCCAATTAAGTAAAAGTACGTTATGAGTCTTATGACCCCTTTTGACGCTTTCTTCCATAATAAACCTTATTCCAACATTTTATTTGGGACATTTGGCCTAAAAAAACGAATTAATCACCTCATTATATCACCGAAAATATTCTGAGATAGGGAAAAATTAATGGATTGAATTCGGCAGAGAGAAAAACGCAGTCACTAACTATTATTAGAAAAACCCTAAACATATTTTGCCTAAGGGTCCGTTTGGTACAAGGAATCGGTGAAATTGGAATTGAATTGGAATTGAAATTCCATGGGATTCAATTCCATAGAATTGAATTCTGTCAATTTCAATTCATTTTTTGCACTATCAATTCCAAATCCACATAATTTTTGTGCTACCAAACATCA